CAGCCTCCCTTTTTTATTCACTCACACAGAAGAGCTTAGTGTTTTAAGGAACAGAGGTATTCCCTGCCTAACCAAGCGTCACATCCTTAGCGAAGATAACTACGCAATGAGGGAAGAAAAAGAACTGGGGGTTTCCTTGTAGCAAGGAGGACCAGCATCCAGCCCTGGTTTTCTGAACAGAATCACTCTGGGAAGTGATGGGAGCACCAGACAGATGCTGCTACCACCACATACCTGCTGTCTTTCTTGATGCATCATGCTTGCAGACAAAATGGGGTAGATTGGCAAGTGCCACATTCATGGAAACCCCAGCTGCGCTCAAACAGGGAAAGGCTCAGCCTGACTATCCAAGGCTGAACAATCATTTAAGGCAGCATTTGACACACAGTTTGCATTGGTGTCATGAGTCCCTCAACCAGAGAACAGTGCACACTTAGGGACACCATGCCTAGGCTTGGCTTGTTTAAACAGGCTTCCAGGTCTGCAACCCCAGAACCTCCCAGCCCCTTCCAGTCAGGGTCAGCTTTGTCAGTGTGATGCTTGTGGGACCTCCACCATGGGCCTGTGTGCAATCTTTGCATCCCTTTTGGTGGCCCCGGGGGAACTGGAGTGGCTGTGGATCTCTGCAATATAAGGGGAGCCCTTTCAGCCGGGGGAACTGTATGATCCGTGCTAGTACAGGTGGGATTTTGTTCCACACTAGTGATTGGACAGCTCCTCAGGTTAATGAGTTAGCTACTGCCCTATGGGAATGGACTTAGTCCTTTAGCTCAAGGAGTAGAGACTTTGCTTTTCGGTTTCAGAGATTCTGGATTAAAACCCCATGAATGATCCAGGCAGTGGTATTGTTATAAACCTGTGCCATGAGATGTGGAACCTGAGATGGGACATGCAGATGTGGCTCCAACAAACTAACTGGAACTCCAGTAGCGACCTGGATATACACAGGAAAACCTCCAGTCCTTAGTCTCTTACCATCTAGTTCAACTTCAGGTGATGCCTGCTTGACACTACCACTGCCACCAACCCATCTCCAGCTGACATTGCAAAACAATTTAATCCTACCTTATCTGAGTGGTGGAGGTGGAAAATGAACGGGTTCTTCAAGGGATCCACCTTAAGGTTTCCTTACAGCCTGATTAAATGAATGCAAAATGTCTAGATGTTTCCCCAGAGCTTAAAAGTAAGGGAATATTTTGGAAACAATGGCAAAGAGCCCCCCAAATAACTGACTGAGCTAGATCTTTAGCTGGTACAAACCCTCTCATGGAGCAATGCTGACTGGTAACAGCAGAGGATGTAGCCCAGTAATTTCACAGCTCTTAAAATATGGCCCCTAGAAGATGCAGTGCACCTGCTACCCCTTCCGCAGCAGAAACCCGTTTCTTTAACCATAAAACAAAGAACTGTCTTCTCTCCTTTCTTTGTGGCGTTTTTATTCTTTTGCTCAACGGCCCCTAATCCATTCCTGAATGTTTAATATCCCCAGTGTTCCCTTATGGCAGGTGCTTCTAAGAGACCGTTAATAATTGCCATGTGTGACTGTTCTTTATTCTAAGATGCAATGTGGTGGATTTCATTAGCTTGGCAGCATTTGGTCTGGATTTCTCTTGCATTTAGTAACTCAGTGGAAGAACAATGTGGACTGGCATTCATTCAGCTTGGAACAGTGCTCAGCCTGTAGCCTGTGAATGCATCTACAAAGTATAGAAGATTGCAAAACAGGCCCCCTTCACACAGGAGCTCTGGTCTCCCATAGAGAGTGGCAGCTCAGCTTTATCTAATATTGTATCATAGCAAGTATCTTTTGAGTTTTACGAAGGTGTCCTCTCACCAAAGAGCTGCTGTTGGAAACCCAAGGCCTTCCTACTCCCCGTAAAACCCAAAACAGTTACCTGCCACACAAAACCTGCTCATCCCACACTGTTGCTTCTGAAGTCAAACCACGTTGCACATGTGAAATGGGGAAGAATGTATAACTGCATTTACCATAGACCAGACAGCAACAGAAACCCGCCCCCTCTACCCCTACATAGCGAGAAACTCAGCAGGGTTTTTAATATTATTATTTTTTCTCAGCTGTCCTACTCAGTTAACCAAAATTGGGTTAAACTCATGCTTTCTAATAATGAAGGGATGACTGTTTTTGCTCCCTTCAAGCTCCAGTGAGTGGAGGTCAGTTGACTCTTACACTGCATGAGTCAGCATGGCATCTAGGAGCATTGATACTCATCCTCTACTTAGGTTGTATTAGTTTAGAGTCAATAATAGACATCCCTGGGCAGAGTTTTTTGTTCACATCAGTTAAGTTAGTCCTAGAACTTGGCTTATTCTGCAATGACTGAAAATTAGGAATAATGAATATGTTTCACGATCTGTCTCTGTAGCAAGAAAAGAGCACAGATGCACTATTGGTCCCAATCCTGCATTATCAGCAACCAGATCTCTGGTACAGGCACGCACTCTTACATGGATTTCCACTAATGTCACAACTGCCATGGAATGCATTCTGCAGCACTCAAGCATGCTGCAGGCAAAGCAAATCAGTTTAAATGACCTTAAATGGCTCAGCAAAACGTGCTCAAAATAGTTTAAGATAATTTTCTAAGGGAGGTGGATCAGAATCGTCATGACATCTGAGGATGCATTGGGGTGGTCTGCATTAACGGGGTTGCTGATTATATGTAATCTTGAGCTAGTATTCCAGGGAGGTTATATTTCAAGTTCAAACCGCCTACCCTGGTATATATTGATTTGCTGCAAGATCAAGGCTTTATGTCACAGCCAAGCATGGTGAGCAATCCAATAGTCTATTAAGTCAAATAGGCTATTAACTCAACTAAATAAGCAACCATCTAAATTTCAAATGAGATGTAGCAGAAGGGAGGCCCAGATCCTAAAAATGTGTTCAGGCACCTAATTTCCAGTGATTTTAACTGATTGATTTGTCAGCACTCTATCAATTTCAGCTTGTGTTACAACAACACAATTTCGACTACCTTCTAGTAGCAGAGCTTGGCTTGGAGACCTGCCATTTATAATGGTGAAAGTTCAGAAAGGATGTTTCAGTGTGATTACCATAGTGAAAAGGGCAGCAGAAGTAGCTATTTCCTAAGAAGAAGGCTTGAATTGAGGCAGGCCTGGTCACATTTTTTAAGGACTGTAAATTAAGATTACTTCTAGGGCCATATAAATTAGTGTGAATTGAAAAGACCTTCATTTTCAGCCTCCAGGAAGCGCTCTCAGGAAAGAGGTCTGTTAGCATTGACAGGGGCAGAATTATTACAGAACATTATTGCAGAACAACAAAGGGTATTCTCTGGCACCAGAGAGAAGCATTTAATGTAAATTAGTTATCTAGTAGTCCCACTCTGAACAGTTCTTGGGAGAAAGCATGACTGAGCCATAACATCTGTCCGGTTGTTGTTGTGCTGCTCTTGGCTACAATCCCCTTGCTACACAACAAGGCAGAAAGGAGGGTTTCAGAATGGAGGATTTCGTTCACAGCATTCCCCAACCATCTTTTACAACAGCAGATGTTCCCTTCCCCTACTTATAAGTTTACCAACATTTGCTGAACTGGAACATCAGAGGGTCTGTCTACATTGGGTCCTTGGCTCTCCCACTCCCACAAAGCCGATCCTGAATAAGGATTATTCCCCACTGTCCCTCTCAAGCATGCAGGAAACATAGATGTAACCAATGATGGCATCCATTGCCCTCCGGGTGGCTTAACTGCCCCTTTCTAGGTATGTCTACATGTGCATTTACTGTGTGTCTACATGTGTATTTACCGTGCAGTAAATTACTGTGCAGTAAATGCACATGTAGATGTGCCCACAAAGAGGTTCTTAGGCCAGTGTCTACACTTGCAGCCATTAAAGTAAAGTAACACTGTGTGTGGACTGACTTGGAACTAAAGTTAGTCCCAAGTCAGTCCACACACACAATGTTACTGCACAGTAAGGCATCTACACGTGCATTCCTGAGCAGTAACTAATCAGCTGTAAACTTGATACTTGCATGATGCACGTATTAAATTTCTGTCCAAGTTGTAGTAAGTCACCATAGTTACTGCACAGTACGGGCGTGCATGTGTAGACGTGCGCCTGTACTGCACAGTAATTTTCAGTTACTGCAGTAACCTAAATTACTACACAGTAAATATGCACGCATAGACATGCCCTCTAGGTTTAACATGTGAGCAGAAGCACTGGGAACATGTATAGACATACCTACAATGTCATGATATGCCGCTAAATAGTTAAATGACACTATAAACTCGAGCAAACAAACTCCACTGCGATAGCTCTGAGGTGTGTACTAAGCATACACCTCGGCTTTCCTGTTACACCCAAGGCCAAACAGGAGGCTATTCAAATTGAGTTAACTATTAAAAGATGCTAGTTAATTAATACTGATTGCAACCTCAGCTCTTTCTTCTACAGCCTCCTTACAGTGACATAGCCAGAAACTTTGTGGCTTTCCAAAAATCAGCCAAACAGCAGAGATCAAGAGAAAAGTCCAGTAGGAGTGTAGGCAGACAGTTCTTTGGGTGAATCTGATATGTTTTATTAAACCAACTTAAATAGTTGGAAAAAAAAATTCTTAGCAAGCTTTTGAGTTTATAAACTCTTTGTCAGGCTGAGGAAGCATCGCTTTCTTGATTATCCAGTTTCACTGCCACGTTATTGCTCTTATCTTTCTATCTTAAGTTGCTTTTGTATATGGCAGAGAACAGCTAAGACAAAACTTTATGCAGGCAAGACGTGTATACTTTTATCACTCTGCTCAGGGCTGTGAAGGCGCTAAGTTCAGAGGCGCTTACTTTAAAGTGAGCATTCAAAGAACAAATTTTAAGTCTTGTCAACAGGAAGAGAGGGTGAAATTAATGCTTTTCAGAAGAAAGTAGTTTCCTGAGTTTACAGAGCATCCCATTTCATTCTCAAAAGCTAGAAACAGTCAGACTGCTAGTTAGGGTTGGAAAGATATGAAGTTACCTGTACTACTTCTTTGACCAGGGTCTTGTCAGTCCCGGTTTTGGCTCTCTGCAGGCCGCTAACGCTCTCTCCAATCCACGTGATCAGGGCAAACTTGACTCGCTTGCTCATGGCATCCCCAGTGGTAAATCGGATGAACCCGAACAACCTGATGTCATCTTCAGAAAACAAGAGGAGATATCATTAACGTGGAGACAAGCAAAGAAACCTTGCCAACCATATCTGAGCACAGCCAAGAACAAGGGCTCCTAATCTGAATTCCAGTTACTTGATAGCAATGCTCTGGAGTAATAGGATAATATAAGCTGTTGTAACATGGGAGATATGTGCTCTTGTCTGTAGGAAATGCCCCTTCAGTGTTAGATCTGCTTCTTGCAATGAACAAGTGTTATCTGGCTGGCCTAGGTCCACCTGGTTACCTGAGCATGCTGCCACATTGTGATTAAAACACTTGCAATGGGCAGGTCATTAAAGTCCACAGAGCTTACCCAGATGATGTACTTAGCCTGTGGCATGGAGGTCAGGAAAGGGAAGAAATCTATCACGGTAGCCTCTATCTCAATGAATCGGCTTTGGGAAGGCAGGAATCAACACACAAAAGGCAGCATGCATGACAGCAAGCTGCTGGCAGAAGTTGGCTGAGTTAGGAAGGGTGCAGGCTACTCAATACACAAAGTCTGTATAAAAGGGAAGACTGCGGCAAAGGACCTCCCATATCCACCTTTCATTCCTTACCACCCACAGATGAAAGAGGACCCTCAGCCCCTTAACTCTGAAGACTACCATAAGCCTCACTTCAGAAAGCAGCTTTTGCTTTGCTATGCCAAACTAAAGCACAGCTCTCTCCCCTCTGCAGCGCAGACAGAAGTTACAGAAGACGGTCTGTTTCGAACCATTGTCATCTGACCCCTCATACAATGAGGGGTCAGATTTTCATCCAATTGGCCGCTTTTGAAGCTGTCTGCAGCCATGCACTTACTGGGTCACGGCCATAAATTGCTTTTTGTGGCTGGATCAGGTGAAAAGTGTCACTTCTGTCCACACACACCCCTGGAGTCTGTCAGATTTGGGGTTACTTTTCTGAAGGATGACTTAACAGCTCATTGCTGGATGCATTTGCAGTTACGGATACATAGTACCACCCTCTCCACTCTTTTCCTTAGAGCATGTGGGAGGTGGGAACCTACAGCAACTCTGACCCTACAATGAAGATGGACAGGTTTGCCAGCATACTCGGTTGCAGCTGCTTCCCTGGTTTCTATACATTACTCGCAAGAACTTTTAATGAAGCAAGATGATGCTGAAAAGCAGCACAAACTAACCAATTGGGAAATAGAAACTTCTTTTCCAAAAAAAGGAAAAGATTTGTCTGTTTGATATTTTTTCAAACCTCTCCTCTCTCTCTTTTTTCCCTCCAAATTTTGTCTTTTTTTGCCAGCGGTTGGCAACGTTTTCTGGCAGGGGGCTGGAATGACCCAGCTCAGGTCCTAGACAGGCTGGCACCAAGACCTTCCTGGTGCTGCCACGGCCATTGCCACTTCTCCTAGTGGCCTGGCCACAGCACAGAGAAGCTTCCTTCACCAGCATACCACCAAATCCCTTGGCTCTGTGGGTTGGATCCACTGGCTCTGCGAGCCGGATCCACACTACAAACTATAGGCTGCCAACTCCTGCTTTCTGCCATTGAAAAAAGAAAACTGGAAAATCAATGTTTTTTGTTTTGTTGAAAAATGGGAAGAAAAAACAACCCAACCCCAAACCCTGAAAACTTCTTGTGAATTTCCAATTCTGAAAAAAGTTATCATTTCTTTCTCTGTTCAGCTGGTTCTCTTGAAAGACAACCCTGACCAGGCATCAAACTGTGCACAAACAAGGATTTTCTGTCTCTAGAAGAGGCTTATTACTGGCCAGACCTGTGGCGAGAAATTTTAATTTTCAGCAGCAAAGCATCTCCTTGTCAACAACTAATTAGAGCCATAAATGAATCAGGAGCAAGAGGAGGGATATAGATAGTAAACCTCCCTGGTGAAAAGACAGTGAAAATCCTCCAACGTTACTATTTATACAGGCTCGAGGGCTAAAGAAACACCTTGCTCTGTCAGAACTGGAGCTGACCGTGAATTGCTATCACAGATGACAGTCATGTTGTGCTGGGACCTGCACTATGGTTCCTACAGAGATATAGGGAACATGGGACAAGAAGAAAATCTGTGGGCCATTGAGACCAGTATCTATTATTGCAGGCAAGCATAATCTCTTTCATCAGTTTATTAAGACCATATTAAAAATAATTAGCTTTTTTTGCTCCTAGTGGAAGGCAGTTGTAGAACCTCACTGCCTCGACGGTTATTTGGAAGCATGCCCATATGGATGATATTATTATGAAGATACGTGCATAATACATGGTAGTTTGTGACAGCAGCCAGAGAGCTTAGCCATGTGGAGGGACTTTAGTTTGACCTGTAACCCACAGAGTTGCGGCTACAGTTGAAAACATATTTGTCAATGGAAGAGCAGGCGAAGAGGCACACAACTTTTTGTCCGCCTACATCTGCATGCCTGCTAGCTCAGACTGAGGGCAAAAATTAGTGAATGCAATTCGAGGCAAGTTTGTGATCCATGACATCACTCGCCGTTTTGCTGAGCTGCCTGTGACATCACTATATTATAGTCTAATATGTTTAACAAATGCAAGAAAGGAGACATAGGAGAAGAAAGGGATGGAGGATAACTGCTAAGAGGACAACAAAAAGAGCCATGGGGCTTTCCAGCAGAGTTCAGACAGGGTTAGGTAGCTTTCCAGCCGTCCAGTGACAGTCCCTGAGCAGAACCAGCTGAGTTTCACAATGACTCTGAAGTATGTCTGCAGTGATAACAGAATCCGGGAATAAGCGCTTCCATATTCATAGACTTCCTCTTTCCAAGCTAATCAGTCCTACCCTGCCAAATCTTTTCATTGTGCGAGAAGTCATCGTCAGCAGCATCTGTTCCAGCTCCCCTCCCCAACTGAAAACCCGAGGCATTTTCATTATCTCACCTCCGCTCCACGGGGAAGAAAAAAAAAGCTTAAATTAGCTCTAAGACATAGATGTCCACTTCTTCCTGTTGATCATTTGTTGTTGTTTGTTTTTGCTCTTTTTAACAAATGTTAGAGGAACAGCAGGTTTCCTCTGGAAGAGGAAATCCTGCCTAATTCCATACAGTCATCTTCTAGTCACTAAGCCTCCACTACAGCCCAAAGGAAACAAAAGAGCATTGTTAACAGAGCTGGATGTAACACAGACAGTGGCTGTCTTTGGGAAGAATTCATTCACAGAGTTGGCAAGGTGTAACAACAGCAACCCATTTGCTATTAGTGCTACCGTCTCTACCTGAAGTGCAACTGTATGGTACCAGGAGTGGAACAGATGCCTTGTAAAGAATTATACAATGAGCACTTTAATTAACATCACTTAATTTCTTTCTCTAAACTCTGTTCTTCACTGGTAGGCTGTAGTTTCCATTCGATTTCCTTGATGACATTCCCCTTTTTTATCTAGGTATGTAATGGCACTAAAATTTCTGCACCATGCAGAAAGGCAATGCTGTAACATGAGTAAAAAATATAAAATAAAATGATTATCTGCAAAAAAATAAATGCGTTGGAAAAAGGCTGATGGTTATAAAGCCGGTGGCTCTAAAGAATGGCAGGCCAAAGCCATTCTGCAATAAGGCTATCACGCGTCCCTTTACCACTCCTAACCATACCCAGGTACTGAAGGAGTCATGTGACAGATGTCTCTGTCCCTGATATATCGTGTTATGAGTGCCTCAGCCCAACAGAGTGAATTATGGATAGGAAGTGGTACGTTGCATCAATCATTTCCTGACTCTTATTGCTTTCAATCTGGATTCATTCATGTCTCCTGAATGCTTGAAGAAAACTGAGTGTGAAAAGCACAACTCTTCACCACCTCTTCAACATAGTCTTGAATGCACATATACTTGGCTAGGATACAAAATGAATTCAATTTACCATCCCCCTCATAAGCATGGTAATAAATACAAATGAGCCACCAAAAAAAATAGTCCTTGCCCTATGCTTTCTGAAGCATCTATGACATCAAGCTATTTTACTGGGATGTCACAAGGAAAGTATATTACTACAGTGATACACAGGAAAGAGTGGGAGCAGAGCCTTTCCTTTAAAAGGCATTCAGATTGCTTTTGGTTTACCCTGGAGAAGTTTTCTGGGTGGTATCTCTTCTAACTGCTCTAAGGAAATCTATTTCATATTAAAGTTAATTCAAACAACACTTTAAACCCACGTGGAATCTATGAATCTATGGAATATAGCTTCAATATGGTGCTAACTGTTAGGACCACATGTTTATATCAAGGAGAAATGGGCAGCTAAGGTTTTGCTTTTCAAGCTGTGAACGTCATGAGGGCAGATCCTCAACTTTTGTAAGCTGCCATGTATCAGCTGAAGTCAGTGGAGATGCAATAAATGACACCAGCTGAAATTCTGTATTTGAGACATCACAGGACACGTCTACACATGCATTAACGCGCCACAGTTACCGTGCATTAAGTTTTCGTACACGCAATAACAGGTACTAACTCAATGTGCCAGTAACTGGTGGTACCGTGCAGTAGCGCCAGCACACGTCTTTTAAGTGATGCTAATGTGCACTAGACTAATTCTACTGCACATTAGCATGGCTTTTGCCGTGACATGCTAATGCACAGTAGAATTAGTCTACTGCACATTTAGCATCTCATGTAGATGCGCCCACACTTTCTTTCCCCTTTATTCCAATGAAAAGCAAAATATTTTCTGCTTACTCTTAGCAAAACCATTTTTTTGTAAATCCAGAAAGCTTTTTTTTTTTTTTAAATGGCTCTCAATGTCCATATTTTGGTTAATTCATGAACGGTAAAATACATCTGCTCCTATGAAAACCCAGCTAGACTGGGGGAAAAAAGGGAAAATATAAAGCAACCCAACCAAGAAATCTATAGCAGCTTAATTCCAGTAACACATGGCTTGTCTGCATTCAAATCCTGGCACATCCGCAACTATGTTTTTAGAAACCATTGGGGGAAAGTAATTATATATAAATAGCCCATAGTAACAGCCTAGTGAGCTCTCAATGAAACCAAAGGGAGTTTGGCA